TGGGCACACACACACACACACACACACACACACACACACACACACACACACACACACACACACACACACACACACACACACACACACACACACACCACACACACACACACACACACACACACACACACACACACACACACACACACACACACACACACACACACACACACACACACACACACACACACACACAGTCACCAAAATAAAGCACAGACCAAGATTGTTTAGATAAGTGAACGTACAGATAGATGCTGATCGTTCCTCTCCTTCTATAAATAGACACTCCTAGCAACCGGCAGAGCAGCACCCAAAGGAACAGCATGTTAACCTGATCCTCTACAGCAGAGCTGATGGGGAGAGGCAGGAGGACAGGTGCCGACCCAAGAACAAACACCAGACAATATCTGGAGTCAAATATTGGTATTTGATTCTTTTAAAAGGCAGTAAAATAAGGTTATTTCACCAATTTAATTAAATGTAACATATTGGATACAAAGGCAAAGACAGTTCTGAAGTAAAGTGTAAATAAACAAAATAGAGTCAGAAATAAAATAAGACATTGACGTTTTCTACCTATACAAAGTATATTCCTATTTGAAGTTCTATTGTTCTAATCTTTCACGAAATTGTATTAAAGTAGCTAGATGTATTTGTTGACATTGATGGAAATAAAGACTGTTGAATCTCAAAGTGGTTCCAGAACTGTAGAAAGTGATCAATTGAACAGAGATGTGTTGTCTGTGTCGTAAAGTGGTTTCAATGGACTGAAGTATAACACCTTTATATGGAAGCATGCTTCTGAATCACAGGAAAACCTACACTATTAAAAAGACAAAAGAAAACTGCCAGTAACTCCAATAAAAGGGTCTTAAATAAAAGCAAATCAGAGTTGGATAAAATAAAACCTCCAAAGCATGTAAGGACAAAAAATGACCAATTCTATTATATATATGAAAACAATTCATCTAACGTTACACACCTGACACACATACCTTATCAGACACAAATGAGCAACCGTGAACATCCTAAACTCATATTCATGAGAGACGTGCAAACATGGCAGACAATATATAAATGTATGCAGACAATCAAATAAAGCAGCTTAACCTGAAGGTGCACACACAGAATCACACCAGCCTTATCTCAATCCTCAATCACTGCCAATCCTATTAAGCCTCATTATTGCTCAGGGGATTTAGTGTCATAAGTATGTGTTTGCGTGTACATGTGTGTACATGTGTGTACATGTGTGTCTGTGTTCTTTCCTCTCCATCAATTAGTGTCTAATGAGGTTTATTGATTAGCTAATTGCTTCGTTAGTGCAGCATTATTTGGTCAATCTCAAAGTATATTGATTTGATAAGATGGAAGAATGAAAGAAGAGCAAGAGGAGGAAAGTGTAATTTGAAGGAGCAACAATTACATTTATTTACACTTCAGATTATTGAACATTTGTTTCACTAAAAGATGTGTTTCCTGAGCTAAGTGCAGCATATATTTCTTCCCTGGGAGAAAATACTTCCTCAAACTTTGGTTCCTACCAGTCTTTCCTCTGTAAGGGCTGATGAGCAGCATCACTACGGTTACCATATCCATGACAACCTCTCCCGCTGCTATTATTGGGCATGTCGTCAAGGAGACAGAGCTGCATATTATGGGATGCAGACAGAAATAGAAATCATGTACTGAAAGCATTACAACAGATCCGAGGTATTACATAGGAGAGACCTGAGCGAAACTAGCGAGGGGGCGCCATAATGATTCTAAAACTCAATCACACTGAGGGTCAGGGGTAAATATAAAGAGCCTCAGCAGGAAACTGAGCCACAGTCATGATGCAGCTGCTTCAGATTATAATTCAATAAGAGGTCAAGCTTTGTATAAGCTTTTAGTTTATTTGCAATTTAAAAATAGTAAAATTGGGAAGATATGTGAAAACTGTGTGGGTGAGAAAAAAACCACAACAAGCTAGGCATAATGTGTCCATCAAATGACAATAGGAAAACAAATGACAACAATACTCAACAATGGGGGTGTTTAGGGTTATCTGAATAACAATGAAAACATGAAATGTAACCTGAAGGTGAATCTTGGGTCGTCTTACAACCTAACCTTGCTCCTTTGTTGATGTTCAACCAGAGGCCTGTACTACGAAGCCGGATTTTCGCTTAGCGAGGTAACTTCAGGGAAAACTCTGGGTTTCCGGTCCTACGACGCTGGTTCACTTCTTAGCGGGCTAGATCTCCATGGTAACTTATGCTGAACGGCTAGCCTGGTCCGGAGCAGGTTATGTTCCAGGATAAGAGATCAACTCAGTGAAAGCACCGCCTGCTGACCAATCAGAGCTCAGTGTGCAGAATCAAGTCATATTACAGGAGAAAGGAAATACAGAAAAACTGCCGTTGGAGGAAAGACGGCCGGCAAAAATCAACTGACTGTGAACGTGAAAATTAATAGAATATCACCTCCCATCTTCAGAGCAATCTGACCAATATAACATTAGCGTTAAGAAAGCTTACTTAAATATCTGCCACAACATAAGTAACCGGATCAAAGTAACATTACGTACAGTCCGCGGCACTGTGAGTGCAGACGTCGATGTCACATCATAATGTATCATATATTTCCTTATCTGAGTCAGCTTCTTGAGCCGTATCTGGCCGTGCAACACTCACAGTGTCACATACTGTATGCAGAAGTATTATTTTAAGCAACACATTAAGTTGACGGAACACTCGAGTCAAATGTAATTAAAGTCAGATCCACTCGTGTCTTAGACACAATGACAACAATACAGTGATATCATAAACCTGTTAATGTACGCATTCAAACACTTTTTCTTTTACCAGCTTTTCTGTATTCACCTTGCATCCTGGATAAAGTGTTTAAGTCATGGATGTTTAAAGTTGAACTTCTTCATATGTCTAATATTATAGTTTACTTTTCACTCAGGAAGTATGACGCTGCGCTGTCAGTACGCTTGTCCATGTTTGTGATTGGTCAAATGTTGCTAACCCCGCCCCTTTCATGTGAACGTGCACTCAGCCGGACAGAGAAACCCTGGCTTGAGTTACCGAGTTGATAACCAGCGTCTTAGGACCGCTTAGCGAGATTGCGTTTGTTTTGGGTTAGTTAAGCCAGATAACTCAAACATATCCAGGGTATGTTGAACTGGATTCGTAGTACAGGCCTCAGGTAGGTCAACTTTGAATGTTGTGTTTAAAAATCACAACCTACTAATCCTCATCATTCTGCTTTAAGCCTCAAGTCCATCTGCACACCGCTTCCTGTGTCAAAGGGTTATAAAACTAATCGACCACAGCTGTTGGTGGTGAGTAGGTAAGGTGTGTATGTGCGGTTTCAAAAAAGGCAAATAGAGTGTCATTAAAATTCCCCTGTGTGGTGTGGACAGACATTGAGACTGTAGACTTACTGTTAGCCAGTCTAGACTGTCCACTGAAAATAAATGATACACTTTGCACTACTTTTCTTAAAGTTTCCCCTATTTATATTGCTTGATAAAAGTCGGTATTTGCACAAAAAACGCACTATATTTGCTATAACTAAAGCTGCTGTACTGAATGCTTTTCAAAATGTTCCTAGCTAGATCATGTGACCACCGGCTACTCTGACTGTTTTCTTATAAAGTAAGAACAGTAAAACTCTCCATAATACGAATGAGATTCTCTAAATCAGCAATGAGCTCATAACATGTGCACATTACATGCGTGAGCTTTCAGAATGAGTAAATGTGGCAAATTCATTCTTAGAAAGAAGAGAAGATAGAAAAGAAGAAGCATAGAGTGACAGATGTTACATGGCCTGAGAGGGATTAGTTTTCTTTTGACACTAATACACTGACTGCAAGCTCATATACACAGACACAGAGAAAGACACCGACACTCACACACACTGCGTAATCGTGTAATCATATTGATTTAAAGCTGTGTTATTGATTGTGATCCGTTCAGGGTCCTTCCTTTCTTTCTTCCTTCCTTTCTTACCCAATATACAATGGGATTGGCTTTTCATCCAGATTAAGCAGATATAGCTAATAGACTGATGATATATTATTATACCACCGAGCAACACACTATTTTCCACACATACGAAACGCACGCACGCACGCATGCATGCCAGCAAATACAAGCACACACACCCTGGTTAGCGGCCAGGTTAAAGTAATTAGAATAGAGGTTTGGCAAGAAGCAGTCAGAAAATCAAGTTCTGAAGCAACAGATGTCTTCGATTTGTAAGATGATTTTTTCTTTACCTTAAAAGAATATCAAATAATACCACATTCAGTGCATAACACTAGATGACAATTTGGCAACCGCAAATTCTTTCCCTAACCAAACGACTATTTTCTTAGCCAAACAATTTTGCTTAGGGATGCTTAGCCTTTGATAAAATCAACTAAAATAGCTTTATTTGATTAAATTCAATAGTCCTCAGTCAAAATAAACAAACCCTCCATTTTATTCAAGCTTCAAAGTGGAACATCATAATCAACAAGTCTGTTATATTTAAACAACCAATGAAAAGAGCAAAAAATGCTCATCAAGAGATTATTTAAAGAAAGGCATTCTTCTTTAATCCCTGCTTGATTAATTATTTTTTTCTATTCTGTCCTTCTCCCATATTTCTTTCTTTCTATGCCTCTCTCCTTTCCTTCACACATCTTGTCTTTCACCTCCATGAACCAGTCACAGAGTCATACATCCTCCCCCTCTCCTGCCTCGTATATACGTGGCAGGAAATCACACAAAAATCTTCTGAAGAATTGTTTCATAAATCATCACACACCAAATAAAATGTGAGTCAAGACAAAGCATTCACCTTGGAAACGCAGGTGTCTGACCACAAGAACAAAAACCAAGTCTTGCAGGAATGGGGAAAAGAAAACAATGAGCCAAGCAGGTATTTGAATCAGCTAGTGGACTTCACAGCATGTGAGTGTATATTACTGTAAAGCAGTTTAAATATCGTGGATTACTCACCAGGTTGGAGTTGGTGGCGTTTGAGTCATCCTCGGGGAAGGGGATGTAGACAGCTAAGGCCACACAATTGGCGAAAATGGTCATCAGGATGATGATTTCAAATGGTCTGAGAGGAGGGTTAAGGAACATACACACCGGAACAGAGAACACAAAACACAAGCAAAGAGACATTTTCACAGTAGGAATAATCTACTTTCTAAATTGTTTCAACTTCCCAACATTTCTTTATTATTTTTTCCATAACTCAAACTAATTATTTTTGATGTCACTGAGAAATGAGAATTACTAAAAACTTTTGTAAGGTGTTTATTTTGCCTTTGATTTTTGTATATAACTGCTATCAGTTGATATGACTTTTTAGAATACAAAACCTCCATAATCTTATGCAGACTTTAAAAACATGTTAAACCATTATTTGCCACAAGCCTTAATTAGCACACAGCTGACTAGAGCATATACTGAATTTTGCATCCATGTACTACAAACGTATGTTTAAAACCTAATTGGTTCCTGTTATAAAAATAGTGCCAGGTTCAGCCAGTTTTTCGATGATCCATGAAAAAACCTATGCAGTACAAAACAAAACAGACTTTGACCTCTAGCCCTATTGAACACAAAAAAAAGTTCAAATCAGGCATGTTATTTCAACAAAGAGGTATGTTTAAACATCCTTACCTAAGCAGAGGTATATATAGGCACATATCAGAGTGCAAAAGCAGTGTACACAGTGAGACAGATCAAAGCTGTCCAGTTTGCCTTTGCGTTCACAATAAGACATATTGGGTCACTTAGGAACCTCTTTGTGTGTGCAAGGGTGGTTAGAGAGACAGTGCATGCCCTTATATGGGCACGCCGTGGAGCAGGCCTGTCGCGTGGATGATGGGATGTGGACAGAGAAAGAGTGAGAGCGAGATGGAATGAGAGAGAGGAGAGACACAGGGTTTTTTATTTGGAACGGTCCTTGAGAGGGGAGTGACCTCATTATTCTTGGCCTCAGAGAGAGAGATGCAAATTGAGAGAGAATGGAGAGGAAGGAGAGTGAGGGAGGGAATGTGAAGGAGAGATAAAGGAGGTCTGGTTTTCATCAACACAATTACTAACTGCCACTGCTGTCACCTCCTTTTGCTCTTGTTCTGCTTTCCTTTCTATTCTTTCCTTCCTTTCTTGATTTATTCCTTTCCTCCTGGCTGCATGTCAAATTATTCTAATATTCCAGATCTTGTTGTATATGCCGTAAAAATAATTGTTCCGATAAGTTGCGCTGTCAAAAACTAAAATCCAGAAGACAAGAAGACGTATTTTCAATTGCATTACCATGTATCTATTATATAACTCCGACTAAAGTAAAACATTACAAGATATCTTCTCTATAAGGCCTTGAAGACTTGAGTACAGTTCCTTCAGTTGGGGTAATATTCCACTTTACAGTCTTACCGTATAAGTTTATGTTTGGATCAAGGACTGACCCTTGAACAGCATCAGCCACAAGATCATTCAGCCTGGGACTAAAATGCATCAAAGATAATCACTCACCCTTGTACCGAGGGCTCATTAAAACACACACTGGACATGCGGTGACCAGCAGGAAAACAGGCTTGTAACTCATTTGGGGTTCCTGAACCATCATATAAAAAAGTCTTGAGGTCTGCTTCCATCAACATGATAATAAATCTACTGTCTGCCGTGCTGCTGAGAGCAAAACAACACTTGGGAAAGATCAGGAGGAGAGGGTCTAAGTGAAGAATCAATACAAGTATAAAGTCTATTAATAATGCACATTAAACAGCCCAACAAAAGCTAATCGGGAGGGATTGACTTGGACAGCTCTATAAAAACAGCAATAACCACCACGGTGCTATTCAACATACACATTCAGAGTTTTAACAAGCTAGCTGTATACTGTATGCTGTTCGACAAATGATCACACTGGGATTGCATCCACATACAAAGAGGGATGCTGTTATTTTCCAAAATACTCAGCATTTGCCTCACATAAACACAACATGCAGCTCACAAAACCTCTTATCCGACAAATCCAAACAAGAACTAGTCATATACGGATTTTATCCCATATCTGGGAGAGCAAGCTCAACACTCTTCTCTACTAAGCTGAGAATATTTATCTGTTTGCCTGATTGAGTTGAAAATTCATACAAATAGTGTAACCCCCAATGTGACCTGATGCAATATGTAAGCTACTGTAGGAAACCCTGTGTGTGTGTGTGTGTGTGTGTGTGTGTGTGTGTGTGTGTGTGTGTGTGTGTGTGTGTGTGTGTGTGTGTGTGTGTGTGTGTGTGTGTGTGTGTGTGTGTGTGTGTGTGTGTGTGTGTGTGTGTGTGCGTGTGTGTGAATGCACTCAATGACACCTTTTCAAAATGACCACTTAGTTGGATTTGATATAGAGAACATGGTTGTTAGCCCCGCTCTCTCCTTGTCTCTCAGGCTGACCTTGCGGTGTGCAGGTAATGCTTAAATGCTATAATTACACAGCATGTGAGAGTGCTGCATCTGTGTGTGTGTGTGTGTGTGTGTGTGTGTGTGTGTGTGTGTGTGTGTGTGTGTGTGTTTTAGTCCTTTTATCATCTGTGTGCAAGCATGTGCATGCTCTCTTCAACAGTGTTTATGCGTGTGTTCTCTAAGTGTGTCTTTGCATGCATGTGTGTGTGAGCTCAGACAGGCCCCATTGACCTGTTGAGAGCAGTAGCTGTTGTCATGGTAACAGAGGAGGAAGAGTGGAAGATTTAGGATCTGCTATCTCTAGAGACAGCGGTACTCACAGAATACAGGACACACGCAGGGGCAAACACACAAAGCCTATAGAATAAAAGCAACACATGAATACCTAACTACCCACACACACACACACACACACACACACACAGAACAGATGCATACAGTCACTCAGACACTAATGTTCAAATGCATTGCCGTGATGAAAGATATCCCAAAGTAGAGTGTTTGGATACAAAAGCAGGCAGAAAGAAATGCTGACAGACACATTTTACTGCATTTTTGCTACTGTTCTGCTTCTTCCAAGTTTGTTATGACTCCATCCTGTTACATCTTCTTCATTCTGGTCTTACCCCAAAAAGCTTATTTTAATGTCTTTATCTTTCCCTAACTCATCTCATTCCCTCACCTTTCTCTCTCTGTAACCCTGGCTTTCTCATCCTTCCCTCCTTTCAGAGCTGTTTAAATGAATGATGCTGGGAATTGTGGGTAATGATCTGAACACCGATCAGTCATTCGATGAGAGAGTTCCATTGACCCTGAGGGTTTATGCATGCTTTCTCCCATTCATTTTCATTTTTTCAACACCATAAGCACAGCTACCTGGGATGGTTTGAGACCTATTATTGCATTATGACTTTTAATAATTACTATAAATACTCAAGGTGATCAGCAAGACAATTTGTCTTCATTCATTGTTTTACCACACAGAGCGGGATTAAAGGGCAGGGCTGTTCCTATGGGAAATTTAGACTTGTTTTTATGAAAACATTTTAATTTAAAAGGCTCAAAATGGAGCTTGGTCTTTCTGATTAATTTGAGCACAACCATCAAAACAAGACCTAATGAAATCAATTTGCCATTTTATGGTTATTTGATATATCATAATATCATTTACAGGTTCATAAGAATGTCATCCAGAATTATAACAAAAGTAATCACTAGATATACAAATGTAAATAACTACAGCTATGGGTATGTTGATGGCAGAAAACAAAGAAAATCCACAAGAAGCCTCTTCAATCAATATTTACACCAAAAAATCCTTTAAAGCCAAATTAGATTTCCGGGTATTGTTTGTGATTTAAAGTGATTAAACCATACTTTGAATACTACGAAACAGTCCTGAAGGTTATGATATGATCAAGATTTTGACCAAGAGTATTTTTTCATTAAAGCCTACAATGTTATAAATTCTGATTTATTCTAATGTGGTAATCGCCTAATGCAACTTTCTTCCAACATACATAAATACTACTTACTCGTCTTTTTCATCAATTTGCTCGGTCTTCCACTCCTCTTTTCCTCCCTCATTATCCCCCTCCTCTCCCTTCTCCTACCCTTACTTAATATCTGCCCCCCTACTTCTCTGTTCTTTTTCTTGTTTACCTTTCCCATCCTCTCTTCCCTCAGTCCCCCCTCCCCAGCTAATCCGCTCCATCATCTCTCCTGTTGACATCCATATCCTGCCCAGAGCCCTGCCCTTCTCATTTCCCCCAACCCCTCCTCTTCCTCCCCTCCTCTTCCTCTTAGGTCCATGTGTGACTCTGCTCTTGCTGAGTCGATGCTCCTGTGGACCCTCTCCTATTATAAATCACTTTTGCTGTGACTCTGACCATTTCTGTCGCTGTCATTATGTTCAGAGGCTTAAAATGAGGGGGGGTGGGGGAAGGAAGGGTAGAAAGGAGAGATGTGTGGAAGAACAGCAGGAATAAAGGGATTTCAATGGACAGGGACAGGCAGAGACGGATAATAAACGGTTAGAGAGATGTGGAGGTGGAGGGTGGAGGGAGCAAAGCAGGAACAGAGGCATGTGTGTACCTGGGGGAGAGAGGATGAATGCAGTTAGGCAGAGCTGGAAGAAAGACATATGCTCGGAGGGGTGTGAAGGAGGGATGAAAATGACACAATTTGTTTTATCCTCCTTTGAGAAAAGAATGTGAGATGAAAGAGAGAGCAGAAAAAGCGAGAGAAGGAGAAGGACAGGCAGAGGAAGGGGAGAAAGGATTAGGCCCTGTGAGTGAATAACACTCAGTGTGACACAGGAAAGGAGAGAGATGGATTAAGAAAGAAAGAGAAGAAGGGAGAGGGAAGAGGGAAGTAAACAAAAGAGGCTGTGTGATGAATTCCTAACACGTTTAGGTCCTCTATCCTTTATGTCCCCCTCTCTCTCCTCATTGCCATGGTTTTTTCTACCTGCATATTTCCACCCAGCATCAATCAATCCATTCAAAACTGGAAGGATGAAATGTGGTCGCAGCACAGACACTATACCAGTATTTATGTGAGATTTGCATGAAAATGTACACCTTAATCTGCTCTGTTTGTTCACAGTAAGCTAGCTGCAAAGATAGCATCAGCACTAAAACTTTTGCAAGTTATTGATTCTAGATTGACTGACTGATTCACAGTTGCATCAAGCATGTTTTTTTTTTAAATAACTTTTGCACTTCTACACTTTAAATGTTGTCATTTTGTAAGTATTGTGAATTCCTTAACAATGTCAGGTGCACTGAAAAAACTGAAACATCGACTTCTATTAAAGGTAGGGTAGGTAAGTTTGAGAAACCGGCTCGAGATACACTTTTTGTTATATTCCATGGAATGCTCTTAACATCCCGATAGCAATGAATATCGTAAGTGCTTTGACAAAAAAATCCATAAAAATATGTCATCTGTGGAAGCCGTAGTACTGTAAAAAGTACGACCAATCATTTTAGCCGGCCCGGCTAAAATAACTGGATGGCCGACCTGCCTGTCAGCCTTCAATCTGTGCACAAACTTATCTCGTGCCCTCATTGGTCATGTGCACGTTCGTGTGTGTTGGAGGAGGGGCTCTGTAAGGAAGTGGCAGATTTTCTCCGGTTGTGTATTTTCAAATTCTAGCGATCTCGAGCCGGTTTCTCAAACTTACCTACCCTACCTTTAAATGTATTCTGTCACCAGATTTCACATAACTGTTTTAGGTTTGTTGAAAGCAATAATATTAAGATGAACATAATATCTATTATTAAAACGTGCTATTATTGCTTTCAACTAACCTAATACAGTAATGTGAAATCTGTTGACATACTGTAATACATTTACATTTTTTCAGTGTGTCAACATTTAAAAACAGGAAATGTTTCTTGAAAGTGACACATGCTGCATGTTATTCCACATGGCAAACCTTATAAAGACCAGCCTCCCCTTATGGTTTGTTAAAGGATACTTCCACTCTACGATGCTGATGCAGGCCCTGCGGATGGGGTTCTTGAGTGTGAGACAGAGCAGGGCCCGTGGCGGCCTTGTGGCTGTCGTTGTAGTCTGTTTCTTGGGCTTGGAGCTATAGTGTTGTCTCTTCCTTTGCGTGGAGCTGGCCGTGGAGATGGGCCCGCCCCCTCCCGACCCGGGCACCGCCCCTACACTTGACGCGGCGTTGCCCATTATCTTCGCCTGCCGCGCTGCGTCGATAGCCGCCTGCCAGCTCAGGGCCGCCCCAGGTGTGGCCATGTGCTCCGGGGCCAGGCCCACCACACCCACCCCATGGTTGACCTCGCCCCCTCCTCCACCATGGTCACTGTGGCTGCCACCGCTACTGTGCTCGTTGGTCAGTACAGGGGGAGGAAGGGGGGGAGGGGGAGAGTAGTCAGAGCCTGGAGTGGAGAAGGGAAAAGAAGAGAGGAGAAAGAAAATTAGCAAATAACCAGTGGTGTAAAGTAACTTAGTACATTTACTCAAGTACTGTACTTACGTACAATTGTTAGGGACTTGTACTTTAGTTGAGTATTTACACTTTTTTCTTTTTTGCACTTTTACCTTTAATCATGTACTTTCACTCAAATATATTTATTTAATGTCTTTAGTTACTTTGCAGATTTTGATTAATAATGTGAAATAAAACAACACTTAAATAAGACCTAGTTACACCTGAAGTATACCCTGCAGTCAGTGTACAAAGGAATTAAAATTGGCAGCACCATTACCGATTTGGCCCATTCTGAAATGGACCAAATTACTTGAGTAACATTTTGAATGCAGGACTTTTACTTGTAACTGAGTATTGCTACACTCTGGTAGTTCTACACAAACAACTGTCAGAGAGCTCCTCAATCACCTTCTCTCAGCGTTTCAGTTTTTGTACAGTTTAGCAGTTTACTTTGGAGGCTTCAGGAACGTTTTAATTGTTGACACATCGGTTAGTGAGCCCTGTGTATTTTCAGACAGTGAAGTCTCTCCCTGTCGAATAGAATAGACGGTGACTAATATACTCCAGTCAAGCAAGTACAACAGCTAACTGTGTACTGTTTATGTCCTCAACATATTGTGTAGGTTATACAGTCCATTCACTTTTTGTCAACAACAGACACTGAACACCTCTCATCAGACCAGCAACTTTACATAATGATCATTCATTCTCACAACTCTTTATCAATGTTTTGAAGTTTAGATTTTAAAATTGAATATCTGTACTGCTACATTTCCTCGGGGTATGGTACTAATATTGTAAAATGGCAGGGGTCCCAGAGTCATCCTGTACATTTACTCAGTTGGGGAAAGCGCAGAGAATAAAAAAACACAATACTGCAGACAACAAATAAATGCAGTGGAATAAAAACAACAAAACAAAAATGTTAGAGAATGGTAGAGACAAGAGAGACAGCATTACAATAATCTCAGTGAGATTACATAGTCGTGCTGCCCAGACAAATTGTAGGAATAAGACTAAGTAAGTAAAAGTAAGGGAGAGCAGATTATCCATACTGTATGCTTAGCCAGATTAAAGACAGTTATAATATCCGCCCAGCCCCTCCTTCCCTCTGACATCTGAACAAGGATTCTGCACATTCTCTCCCCATGTAGTGGATTACACACTCTGACACTATGAACCCTTTTCAGGTTTAAGACAACACACATTTGTGCCCACATTTGTTGTTTAAACAAACATTAATGGAAATGTTCCTGAGAATAGAAAAGGACAGCATTTATTTGTGGAAACCATATATACATATATTTCTGAATCTAATAAATCACAGTAGTTTAATATGTTCTAGTTGACACTTGGGGTTAAATCACTTGGTTCAGTTTTAAATAATGTATTGAGTTACATACACTAATAAAACCTTAATATTGGTTAAATGTGAAGTGAACACTGTTATTGCTATGCGGAATTCTGTCTCATTTGACCTAATTCCCAAATCACATAAATGCAAAGCTACTTTTGGGATCAAATGAATGCAAAACTTTAAGAACCCCTGTTGAATTAATCCAACCTGTGGTGTTACAACAGAGATAAGGAGGGAGAGAAAGAGGACGTGTGGAGAGGTATCAGGGAGGTGGAAAGACTTATCCTGTATGCTTGGTTTGATTACAGGACGGTTACAATATCCGTTGAAATCCCATTCCTTTCACTTCACACAGCTATACTGTACATTTCTACATAAAATAACAGGCCTTAGGGAGCATTACATCAGACCCTGAGGAGCAATAACCATATCCCAAGCACAAAGGACCCAAAGGCATCTACCTTCACATGCTGAGTGTTGACAGGCACATAAAGGTGACATGTATTTTCAAAAAGTATATGTGATTTAAATCAAAAACCCAGTTCCTCAGCAATTTAGTGGCTCAGCAAATGTAATGTCTAGCCTGCAATCCCACAATGCATCCTATATCTACCTTGCTTAGCCCTGCTCTTTTAATGTGCATAATAGAAGCAGTACTCCTATTTAAATTATTAACAGTTCTGCATCAAAACTGTTGCTATAATAAAACCAGATATTGTATCAGCAACATGTACAACTAAGACAGCAGAGGTGCTTATACAAGCCTTGTTAACAGCTGACATTTTAACCAATTATGGCAGGAAGGTCACAGGTGTTACTAATAACATTAATGGCGCCATGAAAATGTGACCAGCAAAGGAGAACCCTGAAGCCAAAGCAGCTATGCATTCAACTGAGACATCATTCATTTTATTATCAACACCTGTGAATTTGTACTGTAAAATGTTGAAGAACTTTCCTTACAAAGACTTTAGAATACGGTATATTAATTATTGAATACAGGCTTCTATTGGTCAGATAAATATTATAATAAAGTAACCAGCAATGTTAGCTGTCAAATGATGTGAGTCATGACGCAGGTTTAAAATATTTCTCTCTAAAATGTAGTAATATGAAGTAAAGTAAAAATAAGTAAGTGCAAAAACCTCCAAACTGCACTTAGGTACAGCATGAGTAACTATACATATTTAGGTATTGTTAAAAACCAACTGAGAAAACTAAGCAGGCTAGCTAGCAACTGTTTAGCTATCAGCGTTCCAAAAGCAAACACTGATACAACAAACATATTAACTACTTATAAGTATCATGTTTTTTCATTATCTTAACAGTACATAACAAATAAAGGTTTACCACAAGCTCTTCTCCTCTTTCTGCGCAGGCTACGTGAAACTACAAACCTCTAGTGTGCACACCAAGCTAACCTGCTAAACGGCCTGGTGCTAACAGAAATAGAACAACATGTTGCCGAGACTTGTAAGTGTAATGCAACTGTCAGAAATGAAATTGTAATCCTTTACACTATTTTCTATTATTGTAAAAAATGATAATATTAAACTCCTAATATTGATTTATTTTACGGTACCTCCATAGCCGGTGTCCCCAGCACCTGCCCTCTGTGCAGCTAGTCGGACAGGAGCCTGCTGTTCATGTAATCATGCTGAACCTTCACATTGACCTGGAAATTATTTTGTATCAGATGGTCTTTCAATCATTTTATTTTAATTTTGTATAACTTACCTGGTTCCTAATATTGTCTGATAAACTCTACATTTGTATGTGCTTTATTGATATTGCAATGTCCTGGTTTTAGTCCTATGTTTTTTACTTTTACATTTTTTTTCCAAAGCCAAGCACATTAAAATATTTGTTTGGATAAGTGCTATATAAATAAGCTTTTTTAAATAATTGTAATACCCTTAAGGCAATCTATATACAAATGCACTGATTAAACAACAACACAAGATATGTCTGCAAATATTAAGGAGCCGTGTTCTGTGAATACAGAATGAATGCCCAAGGAGGTGTTCTTTAAATTCATCAGCGCTGAAGTCACTTGGTATCAGATGCAGCTTTGCCTTATGGGAAATCACACTGTGGTTTAATTTAGAGCATTTCATTACTTGGATGAAACTATAACTTCCCCATTATCTCTAAACTTGGCATTTATTGTAGAACAGAGAACCTAAAGGTTTATAGTAAATCAGTGTTTAACCCTAACCAATAGCCTACATACGAGAAAAACTGACACAGACTCTGCATCTATTGCAGTGGGCTACTGTCCCAGATGATTCTCTCCAGTGGAAAATATTTTTCCTCTTTCTTTTCTCTAGTGTAAGTTAATATCTGCTTCCTGACTGCTGTTCACATCATCATCTCTCTCTTTTGCTCACTATCTCTCACAAACACGCACACACACACATAATCACTTTCAGCATATTGTATTGCTGTGTGATCAGTTTATCTCACACTGCCTGCCCCTCTCACAGGGTGTACCCCACTGAGAGTGTGTGTGTTCGTACGTATTTGTGTGCGTGTGCGTGTGCGTGTGCGTGTGCGTGCGTGCGTGTGTGTGTGCGTGTGTGTGTGTGTGTGTGTACAGCATACTATGACAAAATTTGTGCTGTATTGTTATGAAAAGTGGAAAGCTGTGCAGATACTAAAAGAGGTGTACAAATGTGCAAAATATTTGGAGGGTTGTGCAGAACTGGAAATACTTAAATAAAACAAATACAAGTAAGATATTGCTTGATTAGTGTATATTAATGTTATGCAGGAACACTGGTCAGGCCCAATTTTCTAGACCTTAGTGAGGCTGTTAATACGATATTCCATTTTTTTACATTTTGAATTAGAGCTGCAGCAAGGAGTGGGCCCTTAGTGTGCGGCTTGCATATGTGCGTCCCTCATTAATTAGTGTCTGATCAGGTGTCATCATCAGTTAATCGACTAATAATTACATCCTTACTGCCCACCCAAATAGATCCCTGTTGGGACACGACAAGGAGAAGGAAAAGCAGATGGATGTAGAGAGTGAGAAATGAGGCAGATGTGAGTGAAGAAAAGGAGAAAAGGAGAAGGGCACACAGAGGAGATGACGGGAGGGACTGATCTGAGGCGGGATAATCTAATTGGTCCCCTTCCCTGTCTGTTATCTGGTGGAGACAATTAAACGACAAGAGCAGGACTTCAAAAGTTTTAATGATTTTTTTTCCTTTAAATTGTTCGATGATTACATTTTTGCTGCTGTAATTTATACTTCTACTTTTACTTTTTGGTGTGTGTGTGTGTGTGTGTGTGTGTGCGTGCGTGCGTGCGTGCGTGCGTGCGTGCGTGCGTGCGTGCGTGCGTGCGTGCGTGCGTGCGTGCGGCAATGACATTTTGTGGCAGAGTGCTCAGAGTTGCAGTGATAGC